GCAAGAACAAGGGCCTAGCGTGTGCAAAATAAAAAGAACAAGGGCATAGCGTGTGCAAAATAGCAAGAACAAGGGCCTAGCGTGTGCAAATTAAAAAGAACAAGGCCTAGCGTGTGCAAAAATAAAAAGAACAAGGGTCTAGCATGTGCAAAATAGCAAGAGCAAGGGCTAGCGTGTGCAAAATAAAAAGAACAAGGGCCTAGCGTGTGCAAAATAGCAAGAACAAGGGCCTAGCGTGTGCAAAATAAAAAGAACAAGGGCCTAGCGTGTGCAAAATAAAAAGAACAAGGGCCTAGCGTGTGCAAAATTGCAGGAACAAGGGCCTAACGTGTGCAAAATAGCAAGAGCAAGGGCCTGGTGTGTGCAAAAAATCAAGAACAAGAGCCTAGCGTTCGCGAAATAGCAAGAACAAGGGCCTAGCGTGTGCAAAATAAAAAGAACAAGGGTCTAGCATGTGCAAAATTGCAAGAACAAGGGCCTAGCATGTGCAAAATAAAAAGAACAAGGGCATAGCGTGTGCAAAATAAAAAGAACAAGGGCATAGCGTGTGCAAAATAAAAAGAACAAGGGCATAGCGTGTGCAAAATAAAAAGAACAAGGGCCTAGCGTGTGCAAAATAAAAAGAACAAGGGTCTAGCTGTCAAACATTATATATGTTATGCTTGTGTAGGCTACAGTGGGTTAGCCTATAGGGGGTACACAATTCTAGGGTTTCCTACTTGTACTCATTTCACTGCTAGTTTCATTCATTCCTGTTCGCTTATTCTCACATGGTATAGAGCGGGTCCTTCTACGGACCGTTTTTTTTTTTTTTGGGCCCACCGAAGCGCCCCCCGAGGCGCGATCCTTTTTTTTTTAGCGACCCCTCGGGTCGCCATTTCCCCTGCGGCCCCGCCGCCTTCACTGACGCGGCCCCGCCGCCCTCTCTGTCGCGGCCCCGCCGCCCTGCTCTCACGCGGCCCCGCCCCGGCTCCTTCGCGGCCCCGCCGCCTGCTCTCGCGCGGCCCCGCCCCGGCTTCTACGCGGCCCCGCCCCGGCTTCTACGCGGCCCCGCCCCGGCTTCTACGCGGCCCCGCCCCGGCTTCTACGCGGCCCCGCCCCGGCTTCGCGCGGCCCCGCCCCGGCTTCTACGCGGCCCCGCCCCGGCTTTCACGCGGCCCCGCCGACGGCTTTGTCGCGGCCCCGCCCAGGCCCTTACGCGGCTCCGCCGCCTGCTCTCACGCGGCCCCGCCTCGGCTCCTTCGCGGCCCCGCCGCCTGCTCTTGCGCGGCCCCGCCCCGGCTTCTACGCGGCCCCGCCCCGGCTTTCACGCGGCCCCGCCGACGGCTCTGTCGCGGCCCCGCCCAGGCCCTTACGCGGCCCCGCCGCCTGCCCCCGTCGCGGCCCGGTCACCTCCTGACGGCCCCGCCGTCCCTTCGTGACGGCCCCGCCGTCCCTTCCTGACGGCCCCGCCGTCCCCTCCTGACGGCTCCTGCCGTCCCCTTCTACCGGCCCCGCAACTGCACCTGCTGGCCCCGCCGCTGCACCTACCGGCCCCCCACCACCCACCCCCCCCTTTTCCCGTCGCCTGTCGAGGCGACCTGAGGGGGCCGCTTGCGGAGGGGTGGCAGGTGTGTGGCCTCCCCTGCTTCTCCTCCTCCTTCATCTCCCACTGCAGCAGCCGAGCCGCCCCACAGCCGAGCCGCCCTGCCGCCGAGCCGCCGGGTCGCTGAGTTGCTGAGCTGCAGTTGCTGCCGAGCCGCCCTGCCGCCGAGCCGCCGAGTCACCGAGCTACTGAGCTGCAGTTGCTGCTGAGCCGCCTTGCCGCCGAGCCGCCCGAGTCGCCCGAGCCGCCGAGCCGCCGAGCTGCCGAGCCGCTGAGTCGCCGAACCTACTCTTCCCACCACTGGTGAGCTCTTGCCCTGCTAGCACGCTGCGCGTCGCCTGCTTGCCTGCCTGCCTGCCTTTTGGCTTGCCTGGCTGCCTGCCTCCCTGCTGCTAGTCCTGCTCCTGCTTCTACTTGCGGAGCCAAATGCAGCCCCAGCGACGCCGGCGTGAGTCCCTCACGCCGCAGCAGCTGCGTGAGTGGTACGCTGGTTGGGGCTGTAGGGGTGGCGACGCTACTCCTACTACCACTCCTGCTGCTTCTACTCGTGGTGACGGCCAGATGCAGCTCCCGCGACCCTCTCGCGTGTCTCTCACGCCTCGCCAGCTTCGTGAGTGGTACGCTCAGAGTGGAGGGTCTCTTAGTGCTGTTCGCTGCTCTTACGTGATTCGCACTGGTACTCGGACTGGTCAGCCTTGTGGGACACGTAGTCATACACCGTCCCGCTGCTTCGCCCGTCTGAGCGACGCCTGGCGTACCGTGTTTGGCGACGAGGCTGAGCTTCCCGACTGGGTGGAGTTGCTTAGGCAGAGGGTAGATATATATGCTCTTGACTATGATGCTATTCTCACTGCCATGTATGCATTGCCTACTAGTGCTGACCGTGCAGGTCACCTGTGCGTCCCGCCTGACCCAGGTATAGGACCTGCTGCTCTAGCTACTGGTGAGGCTGCTGCTCTGGGTGCTAGTGAGTCTCCTGCTCCAGGTACAGGTGCGGCTGCTGCTCTAGGTGCTAGTGAGTCTGCTTCCTCAGGTGCGGGTGAGGCTGCGCTCTCAGGTACCGCGTTGGCTTCGGCCTCCCTCACCATTACACTTGACTCTGGGGCTTCTCGCTCCTTCTTTCGGGACCGCACCACACTCACGCCGCTTGGTCGGCCGGTTGCAGTCTCCCTGGCTGACCCCTCTGGGGGTCCTGTCCTCGCTCACTTCTCCACTGTCCTCCCGTGTCCGGCTGCCCCCTCGGGCACCCTGTCTGGCCTGTACCTCCCCTCGTTCTCGACGAACTTGGTGAGTGGTGCAGACCTACAGGATGCGGGGGTTCACCAGTTCACTCCTGCGAGTCAGCGGGTGACCCACTGCACGGACGCACGCACAGGCCGGCACCTGGCCATGTTCTCGCGTCAGCCGGGGTCGAGCCTCTACACCCTGACCACTGAGTCTCCTCCTGTCCCCGCGTCCGGTCAGGTAGCAGCGTCGGGTCAGGTGTTTGCTGCTGCGTCCAGGTCTGGTCCTGAGTCTGCCCCCTGTACTTGTCGCCTCCTGTCTCACGAGACTCTCCTGTGGCACCACCGTCTTGGCCACCCCTCCTTGCCCCGTCTTCGGAGCATGGCTTCCCGTGTCCTTGTCTCTGGTCTTCCCCAGTCTCTCCCTCCTCTCCCCTCTGGGCCAGGACCTCCCTGTGTCCCCTGTGTCGAGGGTCGCCTCCGGGCTACTCCTCACTCCTCCCACTTCCCCCCGACAGAGGCTCCCCTGCAGACGCTTCACATGGATGTGTGGGGCCCAGCCCCCGTCCGTGGGCAGGATTACGAGCGCTACTTCCTGTTGGTGGTTGACGACTACTCGCGTTACACCACAGTCCTCCCCTTGCGCAGCAAGGGTGAGGTCACTGAGGTGCTGATCAACTGGATCCGCGAGGCTCGTCTCCGGCTCAGGAAGAGCTTCGGCTCGGACTTTCCTGTTCTGCGTCTGCACTCGGACAGAGGCGGAGAGTTCTCCTCTGGCCTTCTGCGTGCCTACTGTCGTGCGAAGGCATCCGCCAGTCCTTCACGCTTCCGGACTCACCACAGCAAAATGGGATTGCTGAGCGCCGCATTGGCATGGTCATGGATGTCGCTCGTACGTCCATGATGCATGCGGCTGCCCCCCATTTTCTGTGGCCGTTTGCGGTGAGGTACGCGGCGCATCAGCTCAACCTTCACCCCCGGGTCTCTCGGCCTGCGATGTCCCCAGCCTTGCTGTGGACAGGGAAGGTTGGCGATGCGTCTGTGTTCCGTGTCTGGGGATCTCGGGCGTTTGTCCGCGACTTGTCTGCGGACAAGCTGTCCCCTCGTGCTGCTCCCTGTGTCTTCCTTGGCTTCCCCACTGACGCCTCAGGGTGGCAGTTTTAACCACCCCTCCTCTCGTCGTGTTCTGTCCTCCCAGGACGTCACGTTCGACGAGTCAGTCCCCTTCTACGTCTCTTCCCCTACCGCACTTCTTCCCTCCCCCCTCCCCCGGACTTCCTTGTACCGGTTCCCCCCCCGGTAGACCCCCTTCCCCCTCAGGTTCCTGCCCCCTCAGGTGTGTCCCAGGTAGACGCCGTTGACCCGGTCGAGGTTACAGGTGACTCTGGTGCTGCTGCGGGTGCTGAGCCTGGGGGTGCTGACTCTGGGGGTGCTGTGCGCGGGGGTGCTGAGCCTGGGGGTGCTGACTCTGGGGGTGCTGTGCGCGGGGGTGCTGAGCCTGGGGGTGCTGACTCTGGGGGTGCTGTGCGCGGGGGGTGCTGAGCCTGGGGGTGCTGACTCTGGGGGTGCTGTGCGCGGGGGTGCTGAGCCTGGGGGTGCTACTCCTGGGGGTACAGGGCCTGCGGGTGCTACTGCGGAGAGTGCGGAGCCTGGGGGTGCTGCGTCTAGAGCTGCTGAGCCTGGGGTTTCTCCTGCTGCTGCGTCTCGCCGGGAGCCCCTCTCTCCACAGGAGCTGCGCGAGTGGTTCGCTCGCCGCTGGAGGCGTGCTGCTGAGTCTGGAGGTGCTGCTGGAGCTGGAGCTGGAGCTTCTTCGACCGTCGAGGGTGCGGGTGCTGCCGGTCCCGGAGCTACTGGACCTGCGGGTCCTCCTGGAGCTGGAGCTGCTGAGGGCGTTGGTGTTGAGCCTGGTGCTGTTGGTCCTGCCGCTGGAGGTGTGGGTGGCGCTGGTGCTGTCTCTGAGGGCGCTGGTGCTGTCCCTGCTGCGTCTGGAGCTGCTGAGCCTGGGGTTTCTCCTGCTGCTGCGTCTCGCTGGGAGCCCCTCGCTCCACAGGAGCTGCGCGAGTGGTACGCTCGCCGCTGGAGGCGTGCTGCTGAGTCTGGAGGTGCTGCTGGAGCTGGTGCTGGAGCTTCTTCGACCGTCGAGGGTGCGGGTGCTGCCGGTCCCGGAGCTGTTGGACCTGCGGGTCCTCCTGGAGCTGGAGGTACTGAGGGCGTTGGTGCTGAGCCTACTGCTGTTGGTCCTGCCGCTGGAGGTGTGGGTGGCGCTGGTGCTGTCGCTGAGGGTGCTGGTGCTGTCCCTGCTGAGTCTGGAGCTGCCGCGCGGCCTCGGCCGTACTTCGTTCCGCTCCTACAGCAGGTTCTTGGTCTTTCTCCTTCGGTAGAGTGTCCACAGCCTGTCCAGTCGCAGTCACTGTTGGAGCCTTCCTCTCCTCTGCCTGCTCCCTCTCCTTACACTGGTCCTACTGGAGGTCTTGCTGAGCGTCGTGAGCCTGCGTCTCGTCCCGCGTCGCCTGTTCGTGCTGCTCGCGCTAGTGGTCGCGGTTCGCGTCAGCGTCCTCCTCCTGTCCCTGGCACGCACCGGATGTCTCTGCGTCCGTCCACTGCTCCTCTGCGTGCCCCTTTGCCTTCGCCTCCTGAGTCCTCTCTTCCTGCGCTTGCCGACCCTGAGTCGGACTCTCTTCGCGCTGCCAGTCCTACTGTCACGCGTCTGCTTGCTACTGTCGTCACTGACCCCTCTTTTGAGTCTACTGCTGCGTCTGCTCTAGTCGCTGAGCTCGTTGACTTTGCTGCTCGCTGTCGTCTCGACTACGCTGCTGGTCTTGTTGCTGAGTCTGCGTCTGTCTGTCCTCCGTCCGTCGGGGGTGAGTGTGCTCTTGGCACGGACGTCCTAGAGGACAGACAGGAGGAGTTACAGTGTCTAGCGGCTGCTTCACCTCATCTCGCGTCTGTACTGCTTGCCCCTGAGGGAGACCCGGATGCACTAGACATCCCGACTCCGCGTTCTTACGCGGAGGCCGTAGAGGGTCCCTACTCCTCTCAGTGGCAGGCAGCTATGGATGCAGAGATGGCTTCCTGGAAGTCCACAGGCACCTACGTTGACGCAGTTCCCCCTCCTGGGGCGAACATCGTCAGTGGCATGTGGATCTTCCGGGTGAAGCGGCCGCCGGGCTCTCCACCTGTCTTCAAGGCGCGGTACGTTGCTCGTGGCTTCAGTCAGCAGGCAGGGAGTTGACTACTTTCAGACCTTCTCTCCCACCCCGAAGATGACCACTCTTCGGGTGCTGCTGCACATAGCCGCTCAGCGCGACTACGAGCTTCACTCTCTCGACTTCAGCACTGCGTTCCTGCAGGGTAGCCTGCACGAGGAGATCTGGCTGCGCCGTCCACCTGGCTTCACTGGGACTTTCCCTCCTGGCACCCAGTGGAGCCTCCGACGGCCAGTCTACGGTCTCCGCCAGGCACCCCGTGAGTGGCACGACACACTGAGGACTACGCTTGCGGCTCTTGGGTTTGCTCCTTCTACTGCTGACCCGTCGCTGTTTCTGCGCACCGACACTTCACTGCCGCCGTTCTACATCCTCGTGTACGTCGACGACTTGGTCTTTGCCACAGCGGACACTGCTGGACTCGCCTACGTGAAGTCCGAACTGCTGAAGAGACACACGTGCACAGACCTGGGTGAACTGCGCAGCTACCTTGGCTTGCAGATCACTCGGGACAGAGCACGCCGCACCATTACCTTGACTCAGTCACACATGGTGCAGCAGGTCCTTCAGCGCTTCGGCTTCACGTACTCCTCGCCTCAGGCCACTCCTCTGCCTACTCGCCACTCACTCTCAGCTCTGCCTTCGGATGAGTCCGTAGAGTCGAGTGGTCCGTATGCAGAGCTTGTTGGCTGCCTCATGTACCTGATGACCTGCACACGACCTGACCTTGCATATCCTCTGAGCATTCTTGCACGCTATGTTGCTCCTGGGAGACACAGACCAGAGCACATGGCTGCAGCGAAGAGGGTATTGCGCTACCTGTGCAGTACGTCGGGCATGGGGCTTGTGCTTGGAGGGCGGAGTCCAGTGGTCCTTACCGGCCACGCGGACGCTTCTTGGGCTGACGACCAGACTACGCAGCGGTCGTCACAGGGTTACACCTTCAGCCTTGGTTCCGGCTCTGTCTCGTGGCGGTCTACTCGCTCGTCTTCGGTTCTCGGCTCCAGTTGTGAGGCTGAGATCTACGCCGGGGCCATGGCTGCACAGGAGCTTCGCTGGCTCACCTACCTACTGACTGACCTTGGAGAGCCGCCTCGTTCTCCTCCAGTGCTGTATGTGCAAAATTGCAAGAACAAGGACCTAGCCTGTGCAAAATAAAAAGAACAAGGGCCTAGCGTGTGCAAAATAGCCAGAACAAGGGCCTAGCATGTGCAAAATTGCAAGAACAAGGGCCTAGCGTGTGCAGAATTGCAAGAACAAGGGCCTAGCGAGTGCAAAATAGCAAGAGCAAGGGCCTAGCGTGTGCAAAAAATCAAGAACAACGGCCTAGCGTTCGCGAAATAGCAAGAACAAGGGCCTAGCGTGTGCGAAATAAAACGAACAAGGGTCTAGCATGTGCAAAATTGCAAGAACAAGGGCCTAGCGTGTGCAAAATAAAAAGAACAAGGGCATAGCGTGTGCAAAATAGCAAGAACAAGGGCCTAGCATATGCAAAATATAAGAACAAGGGCCTAGCGTGTGCAAAAAAAAAAGAACAAGGGCCTAGCGTGTGCAAAATTGCAAGAACAAGGGCCTAGCGTGTGCAAAATTGCAAGAACAAGGGCCTAGCGTGTGCAAAATAAAAAGAGCAAGGGCCTAGCATGCGCAAAAAATCAAGAACAAGGGCATAGCGTTCGCGAAATAGCAAGAGCAAGGGCCTAGCGTGTGCGAAATAAAAAGAACAAGGGCATAGCGTGTGCAAAATAGCAAGATCAAGG